ATTCTAAAAAAAAATCTTTATGTACATAATATAGAAATAGAATAAATCATGTACATATCGGAATTTTTCTTTTAATAAAAATCGGGTGTACATAAGTTTAATACATTAATCACTGGGCGTTTCAGCAATCAAACTTTCCAAAAAATTTGGTTAAATTCAGTCATCACGAATACATAATCATTTTTGAGAAAATTGCATTTAAAGAATTTCATGCTTGTTACATTACGTAATTATTTTATGAACATTCTCTATAATAAAATTATTAATTATATGAACCATTTCACATGTACAATTATTAATCAGACAAAAAGAAAGAGATAAATAGTCAACTGTTCGAGTCGTAAATAAAATATGACAAATATAAATGAAAATAAATAAAATAAATAAAATAAAATAAGTCTATTAGATAAAATAAATAGAATATAAGCTATTTAATTAATAATTAAAATAAAAGTTAAATAAAAGATGCTAAAGAAATATCTAATTTTATTTTCGCTTCATTACTTTGTGTTCAAGGTTAATATTTCCTACTATTGAATTTTTTGGTTCATCTATTCGGGGAGCTTTTTTGGCCAAAGTAACATTAATAAGATCTCCATGAGATTCTTGAGATTTCATAAGATTTTCAAAATTTTCATTAAAGTTATCAAGACTATTAAAAGTTATTTTAAGAATGTGAGACATCTTGGGACATAGTTTAATTAAGTTCGATTTTGTATTTGGTTTCAACTTTCGCCACCAATCATCAGCAATTTTGCAACATATCACCTGCTTAATAGTAATCTGAAATCCACTCATTGCTTTTAAGGTTTCCCAGTGGCAGGAATGTTTTCCAGGAGGAAAATTTAATCTTCGGTTAAAATTTTTGTGAAGGTTTTCAGCGGTATATTGGTATCTCCAGCCCAATCCAGTTCTACCACCACCAAAAACTGTAAATTCCCATTCCTTTGTTGCAGACTTAATTTCTTGTCCATTTCTTTTACCTTGGTTTAATGTAACCCCAGTATCTTTACTAATTGTTCCACCAATGCTATTATTATATTCATGAACTTTAGAAATTTCAACATCTTTATTAAATTGTTGTGGCCAGGGACCATCTTTCACATTGTATAAGGGCTTGTTAGGCATGGATTTATCTTCAATTGGAGAAACCCAAATTTCAATGGAATCAAGAAAATAACCGGAACCTAGTTTACTCAGTAATGGCCAATTGTCACTAAGCATTGGTCCCATTCTGCAATCATTTACATCAATAGAAAATTTTAAACTACTTCTTTTATTAGGAAGAGGATCAACCTTTGCCTGGAGATAAGCCGAAATTTTAAAATCCTGGAAAGAATCAGATAAATTCTTATCTGCTTTTACGATTACTTCAGATGAGACTAAAATATTATTATTACTATTAGAATGATAATTATTGTTATTATTGTTATTATGACCACTGTTATTATTGTTATTATTATTATTATAATTATTATTATAATTATTGTTATTGTTATTATTATTATTGTTGTGATTATTATTGTTATTATTATTATTGCTGTTGGTGTTGTTGTTGAATGTGATGTTGCTTTTATTGTTGTTGTTGTCATTGCGGTTGTCATTAATAACCAAATATTCACTTTCATTTATTTCTTCATCGTTTGTGGGAGTTACTACAAAACTTATGGCTTCAAACTCATCATCAAATAATTCTTCAAGCTTTTCTTGAATTAATATATCAAGTGGTTCAGTAGTCCAACAAGAAATGTGTGGTACAAAGGAACTTTCATGGAAATCAAGTCCTATAAAATAAGCAGGTTGTGATTCAAATACTTTATCAATTTCATTTTTTTTGTCTATGAGTAATTTAAATAGCTTTTCAAATTTAACATGTGAATCAGCTGAAGTCCCAAAATATATATTTGATTCTATGGAAAGGAAATTCGAGAAATTTGGCTCAAATGATTCACTCCAAAGATTTGACTCATTAATGGAAATTTGGGGCTTCGTGAACTGAATAAAGTCGAAATAATTTCTATCAGCAGTAGTACTATTTTTGCCTTCAGCTGATTTCGCGAACCACTGGATTGCTTTCTCTTTATCCTTTGGTGTTCCAATTCCATGTTGGCAACAGTAAGCAAGATTATTTTGTCCTGTAATATTTCCCCCTTCGGCTGATTTCAAGTACCAATGAAATGCTTTCCGTTTATCTTTTGTTGTTCCAATTCCACGTCGATAACAATCGCCAAGATTATTCTGTCCGTCACTATTCCCACCTTCAGCTGATTTCAAGTACCACTGAAATGCTTTCTGTTTATCTTTTGTTGTTCCAATCCCACGTTGATAACAACAACCAAGATTATTCTGTCCATTACTATTTCCCCCTTCAGCTGATTTCAAGTACCAATGAAATGCTTTCCGTTTATCTATTGTTGTTCCAACCCCACGTCGATAACAATAACCAAGATTAATCTGTCCTGTAGTGTTTCCATTTTCAGCTGATTTTAAGTACCACTGAAATGTTTTCTGTTCATCTTTCGTTGTTCCAATCCCACGTCGATAACAATAACCGACTTCATTTTGTCCACTACTGTTTCCCCCTTCAGCTGATTTCAAGTACCAATGAAATGCTTTCTGTTCATCTTTTGTTGTTCCAATCCCATGTCGATAACAATCGCCAAGATTATTCTGTCCGTCACTATTTCCACCTTCAGCTGATTTCAAGTACCATTGAAAAGCTTTCTGTTCATCTTTTGTTGTTCCAATCCCACGTTGATCGCAATAACCAAGATTATTCTGCCCGTTTCTATTTCTCCCTTCTGCTGATTTCAAGTACCAATGAAATGCTTTCTTTTCATCTTTTGTCGTTCCAATCCCTTGTTGATAACAACGCGCAAGACTATATTGTCCAGTAATATTTCCTCCTTTAGCTGATTTTGTAAACCACTGAAATGCTTTCGCTTCATCTTTTGTGGTTCCAATTCCACGG